GTATAGTAAGATACAAAACAAAATGCTTATGGATTCTGGAAATCTAAAATAAAAACTAAACATGCTAGAAAAACTCAACAGATCTGGCAGCATCTGTGGAGAGAGAAACACAGTTAACTTTTAAAGTCCAAAACAATCAGACAAATATCCCCGGCATTGAGGGATCGACCACCTTTGATTGGCTACGATGGGTTGGGCACGATGCCCGCATGACCAACACAAGACTCGCCAAGCAGGTGCCCTACCCCCAGATTCAAAACAGCAGGCCATCCCCAGGTGGGCAAAGCAAGCGCTTCAATGATACCCTCAAGGCCTCAATTGTGGCATTCCCACAGACACCTGGGAATCACTGACCCAAGACTGTCCAACTTGGAGGAGGAGCATCCGGGAAGGCATCGAGCACCTTGAGACTTGCTGATGGGAAAAAATGGAAGCCAGGCGAAAACAGTAAAAGGAGTGCACTATCACACCAACACCAACCCATCTCTTCCTGTGGTCACCACCTGTCCCAAGTGTAACAGAGCCTGCAGTAGCCACATCAGTCTGTACAACCAACTACACACTCAATCTGACATTGGAAAAGAGTCATCCTCGTCTGCGAGGGACCACGAATGAATGAATGATTTTTTTTTACTTTCCATGTGCCTGTATTTTGGTTTCACACACACCAGTTGTTTATTCTGCCATTAACACTTACTCTGGACCAATGGTTTGATTCTTTAATATGAACATTACCATTCCCTTTGCCTTTTGTACCATGATATCTTTGTTATTTAACTCTTCTACCCTCCAATCTATCCCTCATTTGTGTTCTGGCTTATTCTTACTATTTTGCAACACAAGAAAACCCATCCACCTCTCTTCAGTTCCGAAGAAGGGCCATACTTAACTCAAAACATTAACTCTTTTTCTCTCTATATTGATGGTGTTAAACCAGCTGAATATTTCCAGTATGTTCTTTTTACCTTAGGACTTGGACTTGCAGTGGTTCAAGAAGGCAGCTCACCACAACTTTCTCAAGGCCAACTAGGGACAGGCAATAAATGGTGGCCAGTCAACAACAACCACATCCTATGAATGAATAAAGTAAAATTTCTGGCATCCACAATTTTATCCAATTTTAATGCTGAAAGGAGGTTCTGTCTGTTCTTTCAGGCAGATGTAAAAGATCACAAGGCAATGTTTGAAGAAGAACAGGGAATCTTCCCTGGTTTCCTGACCAACATTTATCCCACAACCAAATATCACCAATCAGATAATCTGGTCAATATCAAATTGCCATTTGTGGAGCCAGCAGCATCTGTACAGGCAGAAACAGAGTCAGAGCTTCTTAGGGAATATGGGAAATGGGAGCAGGAGGAGGCCATTCAACCAGGTCATGGCTGTTCTTCTATCTTCATGCCATTTCCCTGTACCATGCCCATGACCTAAGCGGAAGTGCTGGATTAGCAGTAATACCATCAGCCTAGACCCAGGCTAACAGTCTGGGAAAATGGATTCTCTAACAGGCGAGAATGAGAAGTTAATATTAGATAATAAGGAAATGTGCATGTAATTAATAAAAATTTTGTTTCAGTCTTGACTATAGAGGCTATAAAAACAAACCCAGTAACAGCTGTAAATCAGAAAGCTGATTGAAGAGATAAACTTGGTTTATAATCACTAGCCAAATAGTACTAAGATGTTGAGAAGAGATTTGCATTAGTTGGAATAATCTTGACTAAGGGACATAGTTGCAGAATAAAAGGACAATCATTTAAAACTGAGATACAAAGCAATTTCTTCTTCCAGAGGCGAGTGAATGTTTGGAATTTTTTTCTTCAGAGTTGTGGTGGCGAGATCACTGAAAGTAGGTGGATAATTGGGCACTTGGAAAAATTCAGTTTTTTTAATTGGGAGGCGTCAACATGGTTTTGTGAAAGGGAAATTGTATTTAACCAATTTATTGGAATTTTTTAAAGGGGTGACATGCCCTGTACATAAAGGGAAGTTCACTGATGTTCTGTACTTGGATTTCCAGAAATTATTTCACAAGATTCCACATGAAAGGTTACTGTGCTCAGCAGGAGCTTATGGTGAAGAGAGTAACATGATAGTATGGACAGGAGACTTCCTAACTGGCAGAGAACAGACACTGTGCAAAAAATAGGTCTTTTTCAGATTGGCAGGATCTGACGAGTGGAGTTCCACAGATGCTGGGATCTCAACTTTTTATATCAATGATTCAGATGAGGGAATCAAAGGTTTGTAGCTAAATTTGCAGATGACAGAATGATAGGTTAGATAGTTGTTCATTTTTGCAGGAAAATTTAAAAAGCACAGTACTATTTAAACAGAAAATGACTACAGGATTCTGAATTGTAGAGAGATCGAAGTGAACTAGTACGAGTCATTAAAAGTTAATATGTAGTTACAGTAAGTGATTAAGAAGGTTAACGGAATGCAATCCTTTATTGTGAGAGGAATTGAACATAAAAGTTATGATGGTATGTTTCAATTGTTCAGGGCATTGGTGTGACCACATTGTGTCTGAATTTGGAAGTGGTTCAGAACAGGATTACAAATTGATACCTGAAATGAGCATGTTGTCATATAGGGAAGGATTGGGCAGGCTGAGTTTGTAAGGGGTAATGAGGCTGTTGTTTATAAGATCCTGAATAGTCTTGATAAGGTTAATGTGGAAAAAATGTTTATTCTTGTGGGTGAGTCCAGAACTTGGGGACACCGTTGCTATTTTGGGACACAGATAGTGGACATTTTCATTCTTTTAGAGGGTTTGGAACTCTCTGCCCCAGAAGGCAATGGAAGCAGAGTCATTGAAAATTTTAAGGCATTTTTAAGAGAATCAAAGGTTATCAGGGATAGATGGAACATGGAATTTGGAACACAAACAGATCAGCCATGATCTTATTGAATGGCCTACTTTTGATTCTAATTCATATGATTTAGAACTAACTTGAATGTTTAGTTCTGGTTAATAGCAGAATGAAAGAGTTGTATTTATATAATGCTTTCATGACCTTAGGACATCCTGAGTGTTTGCAGCCTATTTAGTACTTTTGAAGGGTAATGTATGAACATCTGAACAAGGATTAAGAGGGTTTTCAAGCCTGCTCTGCCATTCACAAGATTATGGTTGATCTGATTTTAACCTCAACTCTACGTTCCTGCATACCCTGATAAACTTTCATCTCCTTGTTAATCAAGAATCGATTGAACTGTGTCATAAAAATACCTGTGCCAAAAGAAAATACTGTCTTTTGAAGATGGGAATTTGAAAGACTCACAACCCTGTTAGAGAATCTTTTTTTCCTCATTGCTGTTTTAAATGGCGACCCCTTATTTTTAAACTATAACCCCTGATTCTCCCACATGAGGAAACATGTTTTCCACACCTACCCAGTCTAGTCCTCTCAAGAATTTTATATGTTTCAATTAAATCACCTCTAACTTCCTTCCCTAATGGCATTGTGGGTCTACCCACAGCAGGTGGACTGCAGCGGTTAAAAAAGGCAGCTCATCACTTTCTCAAGAGCAACTATGGATGGGCAATAAATGCTGGCCAGGTAGTGACACCCACATCTCACAAATGAATTAAAAAAAGACTCTTCTAAACTCCAGTGGATATAGGCCTAGCCTGTCTAGCCTTTCCTCATAAAACAATCTGCTCATTCCAGGTATTAGTCTACAATTCACATTCATAATCACACCACTCGTAACAACTTTCTAGCTTGAGAAAAAGACCCATTTATTCCTAATATCCACTTCCTGTTAGCCAACCAATTTTCTATTCATGCCAATGTTACCCCAACACTATGAGTTTTTATTTTCTGCAATAACCTTTGATGTGGCTCCTCATCAAATGCCTTCTGGGAGTCAAAGTCAAATACATCCACAGGTTCCTGTTTATCTATGGCACAAGTTACCTCTTCAAAGAACTCCAATAAAGTAGTTAAACATGATTTGCCTTTGACAAAACCATGTTGATCCTGTCTTGTCATAACTTTTTAAATAACAGATTGACATCTATCATAGGGAAAATGTTAGAAGCTAACTGGCCTGTAATTTCCTGCTTTCTGCCTCTTTCCCATCTTGAGTAAAGGAGTTACCTTAGCTATTTTTCATTCTGAAGGACCTTTCCCCAAATCTAGTAACTTTTGGAAAATTAAAACCAATGCATCAACTATCAAAGTTATGTATCTATCTCAGGAATGACAACAGGTGAGAGGGATACAAGTTATATTCCAAGGATAGGGAAACTAAAAATCAACCAGCATTCCCCAATATCGAATGGCCACCTACTTCTGGTGGAAGTATTGAAAACGTTCTAAGGGTCACTGGACTAGAAACGTTAACTCTGATCTCTCTTCACAGATGCTTGAAGTGTTGAGCTTTTCCAGCAATTTCTTTTTTTGTTTCTGCTGGAAGTACTGTTTGATTCTTTCACAGGAAGAGGAGAGGGGGCAACACTGGCTAGGCATGTTCTCTAACTACCCTTGAGAAGGTGATGTTAGTCACCTTGAACTGCTGCACGCCTTGGGGTGTAGTTCCAAGATCCTTCACGCTGACGGAGAAGGGCGATACTTCCAGGTCAGGTTAGTACCGTTGTGATATCGCAGCCAATTTGTGCTTAGCTGGATCCCACAAACAGCAATTTAATAATGACGATTTAAACTGTTTTGAGACTTTGGTTGAGGGGTAAATATTGGCCAGGACGCGACAGGGATCTCATTTCTTCGAATGGAATCATTTACATCCAGCTGCGAGGGGAAATGCCATTTAGTGCCCCTTTACAGTGAAATCAAAAGATAACACAGATTCCCTCCTTCTCTTTGAGACTCTACGGAATTTTTGGCACACACCAGGCTGCAGCAGAAAGAAAAATCAAACTCACTTAAACTATTAGCAATATAGTTTCCAGAACTGCTAATAATAAAACATTAAAAGATGTGAGTAGCGACAATTACTGTTATTAGGGAAGGAATGGTTAAAAGATTTACATCACCACAGTAAGCAATTCAAACGGAAGGGCGCAGTTTGGGGCTGGAACCTGGAGGATATCCAGCACAAATTTTCTCTCTCCCTCTTTCTCTGCCAGGTTCATCGTGTCGGGGCTAGGATCGTCAAGACAAGGAGAAAGAAGGATTTACTCCACGACATGAGGGGTGCGTGGGCTCTGTCTGCAGCTTTGCTCCTCTTGGGTCTGGTCACGACCGGTAGGTGACGGTCACAGGAATCACTTTGTGAATTGCTCGGCTCTTCAAACAGTTTCTTGTAGTTTGGGATCATTAATTTATCTAACCCCCCACCCCCCGCCGGGGTTGAAGTAAACATTACCTCACCCCCATTCGCTACACTATGGTATTTGCTTTCTACATTTCTTTAGGGTGTATTTACTTTTTTTTTGTTGGTTTTAAATCTTTTGAGGAGCAGGAGGAACTTTTTGGTTCAGAATGAAAGGAGAAATTAAAGGCAAAAGAACGGGAAAGTGTAAGGAGAGAAACAAGAAGCAAAGTTCAAAATACTGGAACAGGGATTATGGGTTAAAAAAACATGCAACAAGGAGAAATCAAAGTTTGTATAAAAGGAATGCGCAAGGGATGGGGCTGGGCAGTAAATCGCCAGAGCGAATCCCTTCCCGGAAGGTTCAATGTTTTCCCAATACCGGAGGGAGGCAAAAGTACCACAGAGTTGCTTAATACGTACCCCAGAGGTGAATATGGCATTGTACCCGAATCCCAGCCCATCCCAGTTCCTTAATATGGATGAGTATGGGAAGCAATGTTCTCAGTTTTCAATGCACCAAGGGATGACTATGGGAGATAGTGAACTCAGTTCACGGTGTGCCTCACGACTGCCTGTGGGAGACAAGTGTTCCCCATCAGTTCCTCAGTGTATCCCAAGGATAAATATGCTCTCATTTTTTCAGTACAATGTTCAGGGAGTTACCCTGGGAGATAGTGGTTTCAGTGCTCACTGTCTCCCAGAATGGACAGTCTATGGTCCCTGGTTCCTCTGTCTACTCCAGGTTGACTGGGAAACACTGGTCTCAGTCCTCAGTACATATCAGGGCAGATTAATGGGAGAGGACAAGCAAATCTCTACATGTGCTTATGGAAGAGAAACAGGGAATTCTAAATATCAAATGTATCCCAGGACAGCCCAATCAAAGCTAGATTTTGAGTCCTGAATCTTGATACCAGATATTAGGGGTTGGTGAGGAGATGGTGGTATTATGATAATGCCACTGCAGTAGTAACCCAGTGTTCTAGATTAATGCTTTGGGGCATAGTTTCAAATCCCACCATAGTAGGTGATGCTGTCTAAATTCGGTAACAAAATGAAATCAAAAAGCTAAACTAATGGCAGCCATACCTAACCAACACCGAGTGTTATAAATACCCGTTTGGTTCATTAATGTCATGTAGGAATGGAAATCTGTCATCCTTACCTGGCCTACATGTGATTCCAGACCCACAGCAATGTAGCTGACTCTTATTTGACTCTGAAATAGCCTGGTGAGCCAATAAGTTCTAGGCCAATTATGGATAGGTAATAAATACTGTACCATGGATGCATAGAAGGAATGACAAGATGGTTCCTATTTGAGCACCTTCATTTTAAACGTTACCTCATTACAATGGATAATCATTATAACTCCATCATTGTAACTTGTTTTTCCTAACTACACATGTACTAAAATGCCCCAATTATTAAAACATTATATTATAATAGTCATTCCTATAAGATCCCCAATTACAACATATTTTTATTATTTTTTTTCCTTATTATGTTTCACCATTACAATCACCCCACTTGCAAATATGCTTCTGGTGGACACTTTTTTTGATTAAATTGCTCTTGTTGCATTGTGCAGCTTAACTCCTAAGATAACTTGGACAGACACAAAAACAGAAGTTGCTGGATAAACTCAGCAGGTCTGGTAGGGTCTGTAATGAGAAATCAGAGCTAACATTTCAGGTCCAACTAACCAGATATCCCCACCTATTGTTTACTCCTTACCGCCTCCTCCCATCCTATCTTCTGCATAAAAAACCCGAAACATTAACTCTGATTTCCCTCCACAGATACTGTCAGACCTGCTGTGCTTTTCCAGCAATTTCTGTTTTTGTGACTGATTTCCAGCAATTTCAGTTCTTTCGGTTTTTATAACTTGGAAAGACTTTGAATTTGTGATAAAGATAATGTCTGTCGATGGTCCTGTTGCTTGTATTTCAAGCATCCTTGCTATTCAGTTCTATTTAAGAAATCACCCTGGTTTACAAGTGTCAATAGCAAACCCTAATCGCAGTTTGAGTTTGGGCTGAGGTCTTGTTTACTGTGGTGGAAAGAGCCCTCTGGTGTTAAGACCAGTGCACTGCATTGTGCCATTCTTCACCTGTCCAAATTGAAAATTTAATATACGCATTTTGTTTCTCCAATTAATTTACATTTAAAAGCATAATCAGACATTGTTGCTCTGCCTAGCAAGGATCTATGTTGGAATTTACCTGGTGCAGTACCATTCACCTGATGAACTAACTCATTAAGTGACTGGGGAGTCTCTGAAAGGGGAAGGATTTGAAACTTGCTGTAAAATTAAACCTGAAGATGCCAGAAGTATAGCTTCAGAAATCATTTTGTTGCTGATTTTTATAGGGACTGTTACAGTGCAGCACCTCCTGGATTCCAAATGTTTTTGGCGTCTTTGCTGTTTATTATCACTGACATTAGAATTCAGAAATTCAATACAACAATTTTATTAGTCTACAGGCATCACTACAAAGAGGCTATCATTAAGATACAGTCTGGACACCCAAACAAAATTGCTGCGTGTATAACCATGATTAACATAGGTCTCACAACACAAGAAATAATGCAATTCCACTTAATATGTTAAATAATAATCATCTAATTCCCAGTGTTAAGACAATGATACAATCCTAGGACAATAGGATTGTATAATGACAATGAAACCGTTCAGCCAATTGTGCCTGTGTCAACTCTTTGAAGGAACTGTCCAATTAGTCCCACTCTGCTGCTCCTTCCTCACTGCCTGCAAATATTTCCTCTTCAATTGTTTATCCAGTGCCCTTTTGGAAATAATGATTAAATCTGCTTTATCTCAGATAATGCACTCCCAATCACAACAATTTGATGCACATAAAATATTTTGCTTGTTTACCTTTGGTTTTTTTATTAATTGCTATAAATCTGTGTCTTCTGCCACTGGAAACAGGTTCTCCTTATTTAATCTATAGAAACCATTCAAGACTTTGAACAGTGCTTTCAAATCTCCTCTCAACCTTCCCCACCTTCAGGAGAATAACTCAAGTTTCTCCAGATATTTGAAGCCTTTCATCCATGGTACTCTTCTAGCAAAGTTCCTCTGCAGCTTCTCTATAGCCTTGGCAACTTTCTTGCATTGTAGTACCCAGAATTAGCCACAATACTCCAACTGGGGCCTAACTAATATTTTGTAAAGGTTTAGCATAACTTTCTTGTTCTTGCACTACATTCCTCTGTTTATAAAGACATACGCTCATTAACCTTTTTAACAGACTTCTTAATCTGTCCTGCCACCTTAAAAGACTTGACATTCCCACGTCCCTCTGTTCTTCCATCCCTTTATAGTTTATATTGCTTCATCTCATTCTTCTTCCGAAAATGAATCATTTCATTTATCTACCATGTGTCCGCCCATTCCACCAGCCATACTATGATCACCTGTGAACTGTTACTGTGCTCTTCACTACTATATTTCTGAGTTTTGTATCATGTGCAAACTTTGAAAGGACGTGCTGTAAGCTCAACCCAAAGTCATGAAGCTGCAACAAAAACTATTGCTGTGGATGCTGGAAATTTGAAATGAAAACAGAAATAGTTTTAGAAACTTAGTAGGTCTAGCAGCATATGTGGAGAATGGATCAGAGTGAATGTTTTGTGTACAGCCCAAAGATCCAAAGAAGAGACATGATGGACTCAAAATGTTAACTCTGATTCTGTCTCCACAGATGCTGCCAGATCTGCTGAGCTTTTCCAGCCCTTTCTGGCATAGTTGAAGCTCACTTTTGCCTCTGAGTCATTGATGTTGTAAGTCCAAATCCCTTTCATGATCTTGAGCACTAAAATCAAGGAGGACACTGTAGTCCAATACTTGGGGAGCACTTTTGGATAAGACATTAAACCAAGGTCCCATCTGTCTCTTAGTGGATGCAGAAGATCTCACGTTACTATTTTAAAATCTCTCATTTCACTTAGGGATAGACTATAAATGCTGGCCTTGCCTGTGTTACTCACAAATAAAAAAAATACTTTGAAGGAGAAAGCAAGTTATTCCCAGTGTCCTTACCAATACATATACAGTAGTCGATATCACAAAACAGATTATCTTATCATTTTCATATTGTAAGAGCTTGCTCTGTGTAAATTGATCTCTGTGTTGCCTAGCTTGCACTTCAAAAAGTACTTATGCCTTTAAAGTGTTTTGCAACATTCTGTGGTCCTGAAAGGCTTTACATAAACGCAAGTCTTTTTTTTCCTTTTGTCAATACATATTTAAAAGAGCAATGGTTGTAATACTAACTTTGGACAGTGTTAAAACAACTGTTCTCCATTAATCTGCTTTCTGATCCTTAGCCAATTATGTAGCTACTGTCCCTTTAAACTCATAGACTTCAATTTTGCTAACAGGTTTATGAGGTGGTACTTGATTCAGTGTCTTATGAAAAAGTCCTGGCGCACATTCATCAAACTACCTTAATTAGCACACTGTCACTTTATCAAACAATTAAATCAAGTTAGTGAAATACACAATTAACTTTTAACCTTTAACACATCTGTGCTGTTTTTCATTGATTAACCCATATTTTTCTCCAAGCGTTGATTGATTTTATCTGGCTTATTAAAACAATTCCCCATCAGCAATGCAAAAGTAGTCCCTGTTAATTGAAAATTTTGTATTAATAGAACATGGAACAGTACAGCACAGTACAGGCCCTTTGGTCCACGATGTTGTGCCGACCTATTATCCTACTCTAAGATCAAACTACCCTGCATACCCAACGTTTTACTATCATCCATGTGCCTTTCCAAGAGTCGCTTAAATGTCTCTAATGTATCTGACTCCACTACCACCACCGGCAATGCATTCCGCGCAGCCACCACTCTCTGTGTAAAGAACCTACTTCTGACATCTCCCCTATACCTTCCACCAATCACCTTAAAATTATGCCCCCTCGTAATAGTCATTTCCACCCTGGGAAAAAGTCTCTGACTATCCACTCTATCTATGCCTCTCATCATCTTGTACACCTCTATCAAGTCACCTCTCATCCTTCTTCGTTCCAATGAGAAAAGCCCGAGCTCCCTCAACCTTTCCTCATAAGATCTGCCCTCCAGTCCAGGGAGCATCCTGGTAAATCTCCTCTGCACTCTCTCTAAAGCTTCCACATCCTTCCCATAATGAGGCGACCAGAACTGAACACAATATTCCAAGTGCGATCTAACCAGGGTTTTACAGAGCTGCAGCATAACCTCGCGGCTCTTAAACTCAATTCCCCTGCCAACGAAAGCCAACACACCATACGCCTTCTTAACAAGCCTATCAACTTGGGTAGCAACTGTGAGGGATCTATGGATGTGGACCCCAAGATCCCTCTGTTCCTCCACACTGCCAATTCCTTGATGTTTTGCTGTATGTGAACTTGGATCCTTGATGGAAGAGTGGGACTGGGGAACTACCTCAACTGGATGAGTTTCTATTTACCATGGTATTAATGTGGTAATTTGCTAATTCCTATTGGTTAAGCTAGCTAAATAATAATACAAGATACAGACAAATTCTGTTGCTGTAACAAGTACTATCTGTCAGCAAATGTAATTGGCGAGATGTTCATTCTCATTCAAAATATTTTTCCAAACATTTATTTTTGTCCCTGAAGAAATACTTTATGATAAATAACAATGATACAGCCCAGCACTTACAATACAGTGGAATATTGACTTAAAAGAATGACCCTTCACATATTTTTTAGTTACATCTGATACAGCTGTGTACTAACTGAATTTCTGGAAAGAGACATAAAGAGTGAGTCAAAGAGAAGTTGCACAGGGGAGGAGAATGTTTTGATTCAATAACACTGCTTGTTCTAGGAGGAGACCCCCAAAGGGATACCAGAGACTGGTGTGAACAGAACAAGACTCTTCACAAACGGTTGGATATTGTAGAAAAGGTAACAAAACCCATTCTCTATTTTAAGTACAGCAACACTAGGTTACAATATGCACTGGATATATTATCATGAGTGATTGCAGAGAATTTAATTTGTAGTAATGCTGGTTGCTAACATGTGAACTCTGCTTCTCTTTTCCCACTGATATTGTCTGACCTGTTTGCCAATGTTTGATGTTTTAGTTTCAGACAGGTCAGACAGCATCAGTGGAGAAAGAACTAGAACTAACATTTAGGAAAGAGGCAATAAATGCTGCCTGGCCAGCGAGGCCCTCATCTCATGAATGAATTTTAAAAAACTGCAGTTCGATGGACTTTTGTTAGAATAGAAAATAGTTATGGGTTTTAGGCAATGAAAGGGGAGGAAGGAATTAAAGGTACGATCTATCAAAGGATGAAGATAAAAAAGATTGCCATTTCCCTGGATATTCAATGGGACAGACATCAGATCATTAAGGAAGAACTGGCTGCCATGTTTCCTATATTTCAAAAGTATTGCATTGGTTGCAAAGTACTTTGGCAGATCCTGAGATTGTGAAATGAAACTTTTTTTTATCATACCTGCCAGTAGAAGATAAGTAATCATTGACTTTTGCTTCTTCTTTTCTCTCTGTCCTTCTCTATCATTTTTTTCAGAATATAGAACGAACAGTCAATCACTTGGAGGCTGAAATATCTGCTCTGCTCAGAGTCATCGAGGATTCAAACCCCCCACTTCAGCTGGCAGCTCCAACCATGGACATTTTTGAGAATGGTGAGTCTATTTTGTGGAGTAACTCCCTTTCCTTTGTTAGTGATGAATTGTGCATTTGTTGAGCTGCAGGGCTTTTAGCGCTGGGAGATGAGTCAGGTTCTCACTTCCGGGGCTAAGAGTCAGCATGACAGGTCAGGTATCAGACTGGTTCAACACTGAGTCTAGATCTCTACTCTGTCCAGATAAATTTGCCCTTGCCCCCAAACTTCTTAAGTGTACCAGAGTCGCATATCTTCAATGCACCCACCAGATATACTTGGGACCCTTACTGAGTTTGTACTTTGGGCCTAAGCTTACCAGGGCTGATTAAGGTATCAGTTTATGTGTAGACATGCAGCAAAGTGAAATTTGTGTTTAGCAGCATAGTAAGAACTTAGCATTGTTAGGAATGTCCACACTCATTTGGGTCCCAAATTCCACTTTGGGAAGCCCTGTTTTTACACATACAGTGTAAGTAATTTTGGTTTTTGTATTTCTATTCTCGTTCTTTGACTTCCTTTTTGATGAACGGGTGATTGAAACCATGACATTCCCAGTCTCTAGGAATCATTGCTGTAGCCATTAGAAAAACTTCTGTTTCATTTATTTGCTTAATATGAAAATATTTTGAGTTTTAAGCATGTACTGAAGGTTATTCCTTCGGAAAAATTAAATTCCTCACTAACCAGCATTTGTGATTTACCGCCCCTACTATTTCCTGGCAAGTTTTACTGTAGATTCAATAAATCTCAACCTCATTCCAGTGGTCATGGGCACAAGATGCAAACCAGACTCTGATTTGGCACCGTTGAAAGGAGAAGAATGATTTGTGAGTGAAATGGAAAAGTGCAATATTAGTATATTTGGAGATAGTCTTCTCAAGCCCTCTAACCTGACCAAATACTCCTACTACCCAAGATAGTAGGAACTGTAGATGATGGAGAATCTGAGATAACAAGGTGTAGAGCTGGATGAACACAGCAGGCCAAGCAGCATCAGAGGAGCAGGAAGGCTGACATTTTGGGCCTAGACCCTTCTTCAGAAATGGGGGAGGGGAAGGGGGTTCTGAAATAAATAGGGAGAGAGCGGGAGGCGGATAGAAGATGGATAGAGGAGAAGATAAATGGAGAGGAGACAGACAGGTCAAAGAGGCGGGGATGGAGCCAGTAAAGGTGAGCGTAGGTGGGGAGTTAGGCCCGTCCAGGGAGGACGGACAGGTCAAGGGGGCGGGAAGAGGTTAGTAGG